AAAATGAACCTTGATAATCTGCTGAGCTCGTGTCAGTTTTCTTTCACCTAGCAACAACTGTACCTTACTTTGTTATTAGAGTGATCTCACGTCAGTTCACCTAGCAATACGTCATACATAGGATTGTTATTGACATATTATTTCATAATGGAAAACAACCTGACAATCTCCAGATAACAACCAACTAAAACCGTCATGAAACTCGAGTTTGTAAGTAAGAAATTTGGTAAGTATAAATTCTAATTTAAAATCGCCATCATCATTGATGATTGATCTATTTAATTTTTTTATTTAAAGCTATGTTCATTAACATTGGAACTCCTTTTCAGCTGAGGTGCCTCAGTGGCAGGGATTGGACGTAAAAACATCCGGGATCAATTCATTTTGGGTGAAATGTATACAGGATGTAGCATGTAATGAGATAGTCAATAGTTAATGACAGTACTTCTTGTTAACAGATGGGTCTACTATGTGTCCTTCTTCTTCTTCGCACGTTTTTCAGACCAGAACACAATAGATCTTCAATAGATAGGTACAAACTCTGCTGACCGTGACTGGAACTTTGCTACTCTTCGACACGTCATCATAAAACACCGTTATTCCCTCGATTACCTGCGTGTACAGTGTTCCAAGACGTTTGACCTACAATCTGTGCAGCTCCTGTGAACGCGACCACGATGGAGTTTTGGGCACCCCTTGTTGAAGCAAGTCCATCTATCAAGCCCAAGAATGCTGTGGCAGCATTCAAAAATAGGTTTGGCGTTAACAAGGACAGTAGTGATAGTAGTTGTAGCCATCCGCAAATCAGAATCTCAAGAACAAGGTCGCATAATTTGATTTGAAAAAAGAAACAAAAGAGAGATACTTAATTCGTATGTATGACCGTTTTTTTAAGGTGGTGCGGACACTCCAAAACCCTGTGTCTCTTTGACTGCTTACAACTCCAGATTGAAATAGATACCATCAAACAAATTGCGTATTTGGATACAGCAGATTCCGGTCTTTCCAATGGTTATACAAAACCTCCAAGAAACAATCACCAGAATTTTTCGTGTTCCTTGTTAAGCCACCCCAAAAACACTATTTTGCCTCTAGTTGAAGGAGTTGTTCTGTGCTCACATTATTGGTTATGGTGTTTAAAATAATTTATAATATTATTATTTTATCGTTTCTTTTAAGAGTATAAATAAACAATGAATACAGTCAACATTACCATAAAGTATAAATAAACAATGAAAACAGTCAACATTACCATAAAGTATAATTAAACAATGAAAACAGTCAACATTACCATAAAGTATAATTAAACAATGAAAACAGCCAACAATTACCATGTTCCTACTTAAAAATTCTCTTAATTACAATTTGTCTTTAAACTGAAGTGAGTTTTTCCTTCCTAAACGGATGAAAAACATAATTCTAACCTTTATTCCCAAATATCAGAAATTTGTTTTATTTTTTAAGTTTTCTGGTTATTCACTGTTTTAATTGTTAGTAATACTGTAAATAAACTGCCACTGATAGGTTTAATAAACACACGGTTGGCTAAACCAGGATAATACACTCATGTTACAACTAGATATAATAAGTAATACTTTATGTTTAATATCTTATGGCCACGAATTGTGAAATAATTAAACAGAAAAACTATACTGAATATATATATATATAAAATAATTTCGTTAGGAGCCAAATGAAATTTCTGTGAACATCCTTTATCTTACACTGACTTTTTTTTTCTGTGTACATCATGTTAAACGGGAAATGTAACATTTATAAACAACAACAAAGGACAACGATGAAATACACTTCTTTTTAATGCATTATAGAAATATTTAGAGACACAATAAGAAAATTGTTGGGATTGTCTACACAACATATTTCCATCACTTTTGCAAGACATCCGGTGGCTGAGCGATAAACCCGAGGGCTTATAACGCTTAAAATCCTACTTCCTATATCCGCGGTGGGCACATCACAAATGGCCCGACGTACAGCTTTATAAATAACAATACAACAAACAGTTTGTAGTAAATAAAAAAATCTTTGATAATAAAATTAAAAGTTTCAAAGAAGTGGAAAAGTGATATTTTTCTCAGGGATTAAAAGTTATATATCTTTCTTATATTTAAAGCACATACAAAATAAGTTTAGAACCCTTACTTCTGAATCGTTATGAATGCCTGTTGGCCGTAAAGAAGTCGGTGAACTGTCGTCCTTTCTGGCTACCAACTTCAAGTAATCAAGATCTTCCTTTTCAGCCAAGCAGTACATGTTATGCCAATTCTCATTCCAAAAAAGATTCAATCAGCAAAACAAAAAAAATCGCTTTAAATGTGTGCATTGTCGAATGGGAATTTAAAAAAAAAAGCTGAGAACGTGGAAAGTCAATTGAATATATTTATCTAATGATTGTGCTGCAGTAACAGTAAATTTCAGGTCTATGGGTGTGACATCCGTCTTATCTTCACAGTTCCTTCCTTCTAGCGAAAGAGGAAATGTGTAAAACCAGTAAAGATGTACTTATCTGCCTTACAAAACCTGAAAATAAATGGCATATTTTTGAAGTAAATTGCTAATTTCTTTCCAGTTTACTTAAAGATTGGATTGTTTAAATCGCTGCGTTATAAAAAAAAATTAAATGTAACGTACGACCATAACCGTCATAAATTATTGTATGTTGGTAACTTCTTCCTGAAAAAGTATGTATAACAACTTTCACAGAAATAATGTATAGGTGTAAAGTTGACGTTGTCGGATTTCCTTTCTTTAAATCGTTTCCCAATTCCGAAAACAGGTGTCTGTCTTAAATAATTGAAGGAAGTATCCTGTTATGCAAATCTTATTTATTGTTAGATATACAGAGCATAATATCTATGGTTACAGCGTTGTTCTATCATGTTCTTCTGTAAAGGACAACATTTTGTACAGAACCAAAGGTTTAAAATGACTGATTGGTCAAGTTTTACAACTTCTCGTGAAATTGCGACCATTAAATATTTTCGGTCAGTGGTTTATGTCACAGTACGTCTAGGGTACAGGATGGTATATATATTTTAATTTGTTTTCAGTTCAGTTTGATCGCAAGAAGTCGTTCAATTAAATAATAAAACTTCTACCTACTTCAACTGCACACGAGACCAGATTCATTATCGATCATTAAGCATGTTTTTTTTTAAGAAAAGATAACTGTGGTTTCCCCCATGATGTACAGCTATTTTTTCTGCTGAGCAATCCTGTAATGACCCGTAATTTGAGCATGCGTAAAGTTGTATGTGTGAGAGGTGCATGCCATGGGCAGCCTGGCTTTGTTTGTGTTACCGTATTTTGACATTTTACGGTCAGATCCTCTCCTGTAAAGCAGCATTGTTTTTGTTGTCCTTATTTCACACCGAATTAAAGATTTGAAAATTTTGGCGTAAGAATTTTTCAGATACAGCGACATTTTACATGTTCTAATATTGAATTTTTGTTAACAGATTTAGCTTTTGAATCATTTAGATTGAGTTTTAATAGCTTTCATTCCATTTTAGTTTACAGGTTGGGGGAAATCTTGCACTGAACAGGTAAGAAAAAATTAATAAAGTATTATTTTTCATATACATCCACACATTCACTACAAGCACTTGCCCTTGTTTTGTTGTTCTGTACTTTGTTGATCTCCTATTGTTTTGTTAATAGAGATTGTTGGTTTCAACGTTTTCTTGTTGACCAAGCCTTGTTGAAGTTCAGGGGGACACAAACCCACACTCTGTAGTTTAATATTTGGCAAACCTGTTGAGGGGACCATACCAATTTACTCTTTTAACGCAGGTTTAGACTTTGAGATTAATATTGTTTATCACAGCTTTCTAAGACGGGTCGTTGTTGCTTAACTTCAGCATTTATGAGAGGGTACAAATAAAGATTTCTGTCTCTCCAGTTGAAAACACAACACAAAAGTACTTGTCTGAATGTCACCTTGAATCTTAATTGTATCCCGTTAAATAAACAAAAATGTTGACTGTTTGCAAACTGGTTTTCAGTCTCATTATTGTAATTTGGACTCAGTCAAAGAAAAAGTGTTGGGACTACTTTGTGGTGATGCATGAATTCAAGCCCAGTTCACCAGCTCCACAATCCAGAGTTCTACAACAGGACCAATCCATGCCACCTATCAAATTAAGGCTCTTTTTTTTCATAAATCCAAAACAATTATAAAATTATTATATCAATGTCTAAAATCAGATAGACAGTACAACTATTCAAAATTTATTGTCGTGTCAATATTAGAAAGACAGTTTTTATGTTAAGTCAGTGGAAATGAAATTCACTGTTGACCCTTTCAGCAAGTGTTTCTCATTTTATTGTCATGCAAATAAAAGTATAAAATACAGTATTTTTTTATCATAGGATAATATAAAAAAAATTAATTACTCTTGCATATTTTGCTCATGAAGTATCATACAATTTTATGCATGATTATTATTATACACACAAAAACATTAATAAATTTTTAAAGTTTTTTTTATACAATTCATCTGAAGAAACAGACAGACAAACCTCAGATGTCAAATTAAAGTGTTTTATACATCAAAGGGTAATGTTAAAAGAAATAAAAGCTGCAGTGCTGTATCATACTAGCAAAAGTTTTTTAAATATTACACTGTATTAACGATTTGTCATTAACTACAATTTGTTTGTTTTTAACATTGTGCAAAGCTACACGAGCGCCATCTGCACTAGCCATCCAGAATTTAGAAGTGAAAGACTAGAGGGAAGGCAGTTAGTCATCACCACCCACTGCCAACTCTAGGGCTATTCTTTTTAACAATCGGATCATTTTTTGATTGAACCCATAGCTTTTTGTTTGTGAGGTTAATCACATTTCAATCTGTTGCATCATTTATGGATAACTTCTAGTTAATGGGCCTAGCATGGCTAGGTGGTTAGGGTGCATGACTTGCAATCTGTGGGTCATGGGTTTGAATATGCATGCCATGTTTTCAGCTGTGATGGTCAATCTCACTATTTGTTGGTGAGACTTAAATTAAAATATTAAAACGTATGTTTCTAAGTTTAAAGCAGTAGTTGCCTAGTTTGAGACAAACATGTTAGAACCCATTATGTTGGGAAAATCTCAAATATCTATATTTGTATAAAATAATATCTAATGCAGCAAACTAACAACTCAACATGACAACAATTTGTTCTTTAGTTATCACTGCAAATACAAAGAAATGTTTACAATCATAGTAAATGAAAGAGAAATAGGTTATCAACATTTCAACCATAAAGCCTTCATTGGTCCTCCCCCCCAAAATATTTCTCTTATAATGATTTTAAACATTTATTTTTAGACATTAACAATTTATATGTAAATATTTTAAAGCTGTGGATTGTTATTCTATTCAGTTTTTACAGTTTAACAAGCTTAACTGCTTTTGTTTACACTCTAAACGTTAGATCAATTTAAAGATTGTTTAATGTAGAAGAGTTTTATTGTTTGCTTGTGTAAGTACAATCTGTACTGTAACCGCTACAGAGATTAAACCACAAATTTTAGTGTTATAAGCCCTCAAGCTTACTTTTGAAGCTCTGGATGAAATAATATTTTATTAACATACTATAAAAGAAATATATAAATGTTAGATGTGATATGGAGAAAAACACAGGAACTCTTCAAAAAGCATTCATTTATAACTAAACTTACGGTTTTGATATTTATACGACTTCAAACATTCAGGATACTATCATTTTTAAACATACTCAATACTGATACAATTTGTTTCATTCTTAAATTGTTCTGGAAAGTAAAACAGTTCAACCGATCCTATACATTTAAAACTTCGATAGAAATCATTCCAATAAAATCCCAATACACAAAAATTAATAAACTCTTTAAATCAAACAAGTTATTTTTTCATTATATTTATGAATTAAAAAACAAATTAATCTCAATGACACGTTCAGAAATTGCATTGCAACGACCAAAATCTAGATATACTTTAAAGGTTTTACTGATAAAATTTTACTTAACAATAAAAACCTTCACTGAATTAGTAAAAAAAAAAAACTTATATAAAAAATATAATTGTATACAACATGATTTCATGGTAATCTAATAATTTCTACATCCTTAGAACAGCACTTGTTGTCTGCACTTTTTTCATACGGGACCTTCTGTAACCAACGCACGCTATCTCTAAACAAGTGCCAAGAACCTGAAAGTAACCAGCCATTTCATTGGTTATAAAACAGGATTCTTCTACTAAAGATTTTATAGTACTATTATTTTACACTAATTTGTTTTTATACATTCATTTGGCTATACTTCAATTAACATCATGTAGACCCCAGTAATTGTAATTAATATGTGCAACTATTTCATCCATAAAAATATTAATTAATAGCCAACTAACACGCTTTACGATTAAAAGTCCTAATGAATATGAAAATCTATCCATTCTAATGCAATAAGTGGTGATTAATTTTTAGGAAAATGTCAGTTCAAACTTATATTCTATTCTTAATACTAATTATGACAAACAGACAATACATGTTTCTAGCTTATCCAGTTAGATGTAAGGTTATGAACTCAAATTATCCAAAATAACAATTATTTTCGTAGATGCATCCCCCCCCAAAACAAAGTATCATACAGTTTGTAGAGTAACTGTATATTATTATGTATATTTGAAAATAAAATAGTTTTACCTGTCTTGTATCCTCAGGAAAAATTATCCCATCTTGTAACATGTTTGCGCTTCTGGAAAATGCACTTGTTGATTGAAGAAATGGATCTGTTGCTTTCTTTCCGTCATCCATAGAATTTCCAGTTTCCTAAAAGATGGTGAATAATGAATAGATGTAGTGACGTATTGTGATATAGATGTAGTGACGTATTGTGATATAGATGTAGTGACGTATTGTGATATACATATACATGTAGTGACGTATTGTGATATACATATACATGTAGTTACGTATTGTGATATACATATACATGTAGTGACGTATTGTGATATAAATGTAGTGGTGTATTGTGATATACATGTAGTGGTGTATTGTGATATACATGTAGTGATGTATTGTGATATAGATGTAGTGGTGTATTGTGATATAGATGTAGTGATGTATTGTGATATAGATGTAGTGACGTACTGTGATATACATGTAGTGGTGTATTGTGATATAGATGTAGTGGTGTATTGTGATATAGATGTAGTGACGTATTGTGATATAGATGTAGTGACGTATTGTGATATAGATGTAGTGACGTATTGTGATATAGATGTAGTGATGTATTGTGATATAGATGTAGTGACGTATTGTGATATAGATGTAGTGACGTATTGTGATATAGATGTAGTGACGTATTGTGATATAGATGTAGTGGTGTATTGTGATATAGATGTAGTGGTGTATTGTGATATAGATATAGTGATGTATTGTGATATAGATATAGTGATGTATTGTGATATAGATGTAGTGGTGTATTGTGATATAGATGTAGTGGTGTATTGTGATATAGATGTAGTGGTGTATTGTGATATAGATGTAGTGATGTATTGTGATATAGATGTAGTGATGTATTGTGATATAGATGGGTTGCTTGTATACCCAGAGATGCTAACAAAGTATTTATGAGTACTCAGAATTGATAATAATTAAGTGTACTCTATCATAATTATGAATTAATTTGTTAGAATTAACATTATTCCCCCCCTACAATCACTTTGGATAAGTTTTATACCACAGTTAAATTTCATAAATAAAAAAAAAACATATTATTAACATATATGCAGGTTTTGAAACAGGCTAGGTCTTATTTCCTTATTATTAGCATATCTGTTATACACATCTAATTATCATGAATTTTAAGAAGAATCCATTGTAGCTTAGGCTATTTTGAATATAACGAGACTCATATTTATTATTTGATAAAATAAAATATTTCACACTAATTATTTCAAAAGTTATAGTATCTCAATAATTTATCTAAACTTGGTAAATAAAACTTACCCTGTGGTAGTTTGAATGGGTTTGAGCAGAAGGCCAAGAGAAAAGGAAATTAGGCTCAAATGACCATCCACACTAATTGGACCAAAATATACAATGTGTTTGAATCTCAATTAGTTTGAAATAAATATTATAATCAAGATATGCAAAAACATACATTTCATTTTATATTTAACATAATACCAAGTGTTATTTATTATTCTATTACACACAAATGATTAACCTTACCGAGCCATTTTATTTTAAAACAAAGATGTAAACAGTGTTTCTCTATGTTAGATGTCAATTTATAGCTAAACTATGATAAACTTATGGTAAATGTGAAACAAATTTTTTAATTAATTTATTTACTGGCAACACTTGTGCGTTTATTAATCGAAACGAATTGTTTTGATTCCGTGTTTGGAATAATTTGAAACTAACTTTGACCATGTCAGGCACAAAACCTTGTACATTTGTTACTATGTTAAATTTGTAATAATATTTTCTTCATTATTCATTCAAGCCTTCTCCAAACCTTGCAGCCTAAAAGTGGTTTCCTCGTCAGTGAAATTTCAAATTGGATATAGTATGCTGTATTAATTTTTTGACATGTTAGTTTAAAATGCTACGACTTCGGTCAACTAAAGTCCAGAAAGTCGATCACGGCAAAATTATAGCTGGATTTATTAGTGGAATTTGCACGCTGGTTAATAGTCAGGCTCATTAATCAATTACATTCAACTACTCAATTATATTAAAATCATAAATAATATTCAACGTTAAACTGGTACACAATT